GGCGGCCTGCGGATCCCGGCGTCCAGCGCGGGGCTCAGAGCGGCGGATCGCGGCCGCCTCGCCCCACGCCCCGCATTCCTGGGAACGCGAATAGTAGCCCCCGGGGGGCGGGGATGCAGGAGGGCAGCAGCGCAAGAAAGGGCGACGGGAAATCAGTCCCGAGTGCACGAGAAGACGGCTACTGGGGGTGGGGATGGGGCCCGCGGGCTGGGGCCCAGAGGCCGCGTCGCGTCCAGCGCTCGGCCTCTACCGCCCTGCGCCCCCCACCCGGCCCTCTGCAGGTCTGCGGGTCCCAGCATCGCAGCAGCGCGCCCTGGGCAAGAGTCTAGAGGAGGAAACAGCAAGGATAGGCCCAGGTGGGTGTCGGGGGAGGCGGCGCGGGGAGGGGGGTATTGTTGGGGGGCGGGGACGGTTGCGGAGCCCGGCTAAGACTCCCCCTTCCGACTTCCCCATCCCCCGTCCCCCGTCCTCCATTTTGGCGTCTGTCGAGCCCAGGAGAGAAACCCGGGAAAGGAAAAATGGTGGGCTTTGGGGGAGGGGGGCTCGAGTTGGAGGCCCCCTAGGGAGCGTCCGGCGTTCTTAAGGTGGGGAGAGAACTCTAAAAACCCTGTGCTGTCTGGAGCCTGAATCCTGCTGGTCAGTGCGCCAAGCATTCAGTTTCTCTCCTTGCCTTTGTCTTACTTGTGTTCAAAGAAAAACAACCAGGAAAATAAAGTCTCATCATGGCAAATATCCACCAGGAAAACGAAGAAATGGAGCAGCCCCTGCAGAATGGAGAGGAAGACCGCCCTTTGGGAGGGGGTGAAGGCCACCAGCCTGCAGGAAATAATCGGAGGGGACAAGCTCGCCGACTTGCCCCTAATTTCCGATGGGCCATACCCAACAGGCAGGTCAATGACGGGATGGGTGGAGATGGAGATGATATGGAAATGTTCATGGAGGAGATGAGAGAAATCAGGAGAAAACTTAGGGAGCTGCAGTTAAGGAATTGCCTGCGTATCCTTATGGGGGAGCTCTCGAATAATCATGACCATCATGATGAATTTTGCCTTATGCCTTGACTCCTGTCAGTTTCCATGAAATTAATACTGTGAGTGCCACTGCCACTGTTCTTTCCTTTTCCCGTGCGGTTTCCTGATAAGCCTTTACTGATCATTTGCTGTGAACCTCATGTAATTTTAATTTCCATGTGTCAGGTGGGTCCTGTGTTAGCAGCTTCTAATTGGAGATCGCCTTTGCAGCAGTCTTAAGTTTTTCTGTCAATAATAGTTAAACCCATTTGCATGGAAAAATGTAAAGTTAATAAAGCAATTAAAAAGCAGACTATATTTATTGTCTCATTAAAGCCCCCAAAAAAGTGATCTGAAATCAAATACCCCAGAGTGTTAATTGGGAGACATTTCTCTGAGACTGGATAATATGTGACTTTCTTTTTCCTTTTATTATCTGGAATTTTAGAAGCAACAAAAACAATTTTTCACAGTCTAATGTAGTACAGGAACATTACTGGTTCAACAAGCTTGAAGGACACTAAATATCTTCCCAGTCTTAACTGGAAGCATAGCCTTCCCTTTACTACAGGTACATTCCTTTAAAGATTCAGTTTTCTGTGAAATGGGAACAAGGCTTTTCCTTACAGGGCTTCTGAGTGGAATTGATGAGGCATGGCACTATTGGCTGTCTGGCATATGCAACTCCCCAGGTGCCAACAGGGCCCGGACCCCCATTGGGGCTTGGGAAGGAGTAAAAGGACTTTTCAGTCATGCTCAAAGTCTGGAGTGCAGAAACAGGTGGGTTCTACCTTGTCATTATATTACTTGAGCAGTTCTTTCTACTGGTGCTGTTTCTGTCCCTGTTGCTAATGTGCTAAAATCAAATCCTCAAGATAATAAAAACACTTGATTTCTGAAGTCCCAGGTGTGCTAAATAAATCTCCATTCCATTCCCACTTTGGTTTCCATGAAACATAGAATGGCTTTATCCAACTTTATAGTTATATTGCCTAAGTGAGTTTCATCCCCACGGCTCTTGGTCTTATATTGATTCTTAACAAAATAGTCCTATTTGGTTTTATTTTTATGCCCACTCCTCTTGAAGGAACTTGGACAAGAATGTGCTGGGCCTCTCTCAGGAATCACTCCTTACTGTCTCAACTTATGTGCCCAGCATTGTATTACTCTAAACCTCCAAACAGGCTGAAAACTGTTTTGCATACTTTTGCTCTTTTGAGTGCATTTTCTGGCCAGGGCCACCCAGCCAGTTGAGCAGACATACCCAGACATGTAAAGTCCATGAGGGGGCACATTTTAAAGTTGAAACACCACTTTCCCATTCCTGTCCCTTCCACATCTGAAACATGAAACTGCTCTGTCAACTCTTAAAGTTATTAAATATTTAAATATTAAATATTTGGTTTCTAAGTGAGTGTATGCCCTCGAAGACAATGCTTTTGTCTTAATCACCCTGAAACTCAGTTTTCAGTATAATGCCTGGCATAGATACTTAACTACTAATTACTGTGGTTAATTAACTAATAGCATTTGGAACTCTGCAATACTGTTCCTCACTGTCCTTAAGTGGCCTGAGGCACAGTAACTACCTAACTGGAAAGTACTTTTATTTTCTAAGGAAAATAAGCGAGAAAAGTCTAACCCAAAATCTAATACATTTTTAAAAACCATGTATATGTCAGTGTGTACAGAAACACAGACCCCTTACCTGCATCATAAACACCTAGGAAAAATGCTCACAATGCTGATCCATGGGTAACCTCACTCGCAGGCCCTGCTTTCACCCCCAAAACACCTAAACAGGAGCTACTGTTTTGACTGTTACCCAGGTGGCTCAGATGTATCAGAGTTTTGACAACATAGGATTAGAGAAACACTGACAGATTATATTATTTTACAAATACTTGAATCTAGATTTTCTTGATTCTGCAATGAATGTAACTTTGCAAAATACAACATTTCTGAAATTATGTGCATTAAACTGTATATGTCTGTATTTAAACAAGTACTGTTTTTAATCTTTTCCAATAGCCTATGAAATTAATGCATTATCATGAATCTATTACTAATATGATGTATTATTACAAGTTATATACATAGTAGTAAAAGTAATTATTAAAGTAAGCATTATTATTTCTATGCAAACCTGTGCCATTTTAGAACAATGATTTTGTCTCAATTGCCCTGGAGCTTAATTTCTAGCACAGTGCCTGCTGTATTAGATATTTAATAATTTAATTGTTCATTAAGTTAATTATTAGCATTTATAATTAATCTAAAACAATGCATAAAAACTTTTCATAATTATGTAGTACACTGTGATTATACATACTTGGAATATGCAGACAACAGGGGGATGATAATGAAGAAAATCTATTAAAAAAAATACTTGTAATGTTTTTTAATCATCCTATCTTTAGTCGGGAAGCTTCCTAAGCTGTGCTCTAATAGCCATACCAAAGAAAACACTAGTCACAAGGTGAAGTGATTATAAGTACTGCTTTTACAAAAAGTAAAAGTATACCTCAGAACAAGCAATGTTACTAAGAAAAACAAGGATATTTTAATAATAGCAAAAATTAATACATTAAATTCATTTACGTTCTATGAAATATGTTGCACCCACCATGACTTGTGGTCCAGGAACCCAAGTCCTCACCCAGGAACAGGGCAGGGTTCCAGGAAAAAGACAAGGCCTGTGGGCTGACTAAAGATCTACATCTTACCTTGGGGTGGGGGCGAGGAGTGGGAATGATGGGAGCAGGGGAGAGACACAGGGGAGCTGGGTGGTGGTGCCTGAATGGAGTATTGGTGGGAGGGCCGCACATAGGGGAACAAAAGCTAGAAAGACGACTCATGATGTAAGAAAGTACGTAAATATTAAAAAGAAAATGTTGCAGGCCCTCCCTGGTGGCGCAGTGGGTTGGAGCACAGCACTGCAAAGCTGGCAAAGGCAGCTTCAGTGTGAGTTCAATCACGGGCCCTGGAGGTGACCTACATGGCGTAGCAGACCTTTCCTGTTTTGCTGGCTTCTCCCCTCAGCATTGTACTTCATAGATCTGCCTGTTCAGTGCCCAATCTGTATTTGGTGAATTCTCTCACTGCCCCTGAGCCTCTGGCCTGTACTCCAGTTCTTTATGCATTAAAAAAAAATGTTGCACACAATTATATTTCTTCAAAATGCTTGACACATTCTGACAATGATGAGGAGAGAAATGGACAAGTTGGCAGTTATAGTTGTAGATTTCAATGCTTCTCAATAACTGATGGAACAGGCAAAAAAAAAAAAAAAAAAAAACAACAACAAAAACCTGAATATTAGAACAAAAATCAACGGCATAAAAATGTTTATAATTGCCAAAACATGTAAACTCTCAAGATGTCCTTTAATAGGTGAATGGATATGCTAAATTGAATGGATCAATAAATGGAATATTAGTAACAAAAATGCATGCTCTGTCAAGCCACAACGATACATGGAGAAAGCTTAAATGCATATTGCTAAGTGGTAGAAGTCAATCTGAAAAAAAAAAAAAAAAAGGTAGTATATTAGTATATGATTCCAATTATATGTCATACTGGGAAAGGCAAAATTATGGAGATAGTAAAAAGATCAATGGTGCCAGAGATTCAGAGGAAAAAAAGCAAAGGTGGAGCACAGGAGTTTTTAGTATCATGAAACTTTCTGTAGGATATTTCTATATATAATGGTAAAAGGTGACATTTTTCAAAACCCATAGAATGTATGATACAAAGATCAAACCTTAAACTATGATCTTAGTTAATAATATACTGATACTGGCCTATCATTTGTAACATGTACCCCTAAAATATTGTTGAATGTCTGCTATCTTTTTCAACACAGTCTTGGAAGCTCTAGACATTGAGGTAAGGCGAGAAAATAAAATAAGTCATACAAATTAGAATGGAAGAAAGCAAGCTCCCTATTTGCAGGTGACATGATTGCCCATGGGAAAAAATCCTAAGAAACTTTTTTGTTATATTTTAAATGACCCCCACATGAGATATTCAAAGAATATCTCTAAAGATAAAATTGGAAAATTATTTGCTGGTGTATAAAGAATTCCCCCACATAGTGTGTCATCAAAGTATATGAGGCTGAAAAGGCTTGGTTGTCTTGACTTGTACAAGGCCGAACACTACAGCAAGGTTCATATTAAGCGAAGGGAAAATAACCAGAAGAACCTGCCCCCACCACTACCACCGTCACCAAACTGTGTACCTGAGACTAAGGAAGCCTGTCCCGTTCCTCGACCACCATCCGAGTGGTTGAGAGCACACGGGGGGCAGGTGGTCTGGACGTGAGGCCCAGCCTTGTCACCTGTAACTGGTGCCAGGGACAAACCCGTCAGCCTCCACCTCCTCTTGGTCACATGACCTGACAGCATCCTTACCTCAGAGGGTGTTTGAGGATTAGATGACGCAAGTGGAACTCTCCCTACAAGCCCAGCCGCACAGCTAAGGGTGTCTACCGCAAAGGTTACTTGCAAAACTTTACAAAATTAAGGCTTTTTAGGTGATACTAACAAAACACACAGAGACAAATGAGTGTGCAGTGCCTTTATGCTTTCTGCTCTGATGGCAAATGGCGCAGAGATGCGTGGTTCTAGGCGAAAGCCAGGTGTCATTCCCCCACCCAAAGGCGGGACAATAGAGTACAGGTCGTCTTCTCTCTGTCCTTTTTCTGGTAGACGTGACAGGGTTGGAGAATCTTTATCTGAGAGAGGCCGCATCTCCTGGGGTCCGAGATTGTTTCCAAACCTGAAAGGCCATGCGTGTCACTAAGGAAATGAGGAGCAGAAGAGAGAGTATGAGCTGCAGCATGAAGCAGTGATAGGGGATGGTGTCGGTCCAGGCCATGGTGTTTGTGATGGGCAGCTTTTGCGCTCAGAGAAGGTCCTTTCTTTCCTCTGCCACAAGCAGGGTGCTCATAACTTTAAAGTGCTGGGAGAAGATATTTCCCAGGGACACACCCCTGCAGGTTGTCGTCTCTGCTCATTCAGGCTAAGCTCCCAGAGATGGGTGGTCTGGCCAAAGGTCTCAGGAGGGGGCCTGACCAGAAGAGTTCACTGTCAGTTGGCCCGGCAACGGGCTGGCTTCATTATTACCTGCCTTCCGTGTGGCTGTGACACGTTCATTATGACCCTGCCACTCAGCTGACGCTGGGCCTGTAGTCCAGCTGCGGGTCTCCACTGGCTACTGCGTCTTCCCACTGTGCTCACTGGCTGATGTAGTTGGTGTTCCTGCCTTATACTGAACACTGGCCTGTGTTTCTTTTCAGCCACTGTGTAT